CCTTGTGAAAGGGTTGTCATCATTTACCAAAAAGGGGGAGATTGAAAGCTCTAGTTTGGTTTTGGTGAATTGATAAAACCCTAAGTGCTAACACATTGCTCTAAGTGATCATGAGATAGGACAGCATATTCCAAGTGGTGGAGCAAATGGTGAAGATCATGATGGTTGTGATGGCCATGGTGATGACCAAGTGCTCGAACTTGGAAATGAAGAAAGAGAAAAACAAAAAGCTCAAGTCAAAGGTGATATCCATAGGAGCTTTTTGTTTTTGGTGATCAAGACACTTAGAGAGTGTGATCACATTTAGGATAGATAGCCGTAATATTAAGAGGGGCGAAACTCGTATCAAAATATGGTTATCAAAATGACACTAGATGTTCTAACTCATTCCATATGCATTTAGATTCTAGTGAGGGCTAACACCCTTGAAAATGTTTGTGAAAATATGCTAACACACGTGCACAAGGTGATACACTTGGTGGTTAGCACTTTGGATAAAGGGTGGTGAAGTTGGTGAAGTTGAAGTGATCACTGGTGCTGATTGGGCGCTGGACCTATGCGTCCGATCAGTGGTGTTGTAGTGGCGTGGCCTCGGCCTTTGACTAGATGTTGGCACGAGGAGGTGATCGGACATGTAGCACCTGGGTCCAGTCAAGTGGTGACGGTCCCAGACGTAGGCGGCTTTGTTGTGGCGCGTTAAGCCAGAGAGGATCGGACGCAGGGGTGTGTCGGGTCAGGCACTATCGGATGCACATTGGAAGTGATCTGACATGGCACGGGCATGGCGTCAGGTCGGGCGTGGTGCGTCTAGTCGTTGCATGGCTGGCGTGGGCACGGGTGTGAGCGGACGCTGCCTCGGTGCGTCCGGTCATGTTGCCTTGCGCCAGGTCATAACTTAACCATGTGGGCACTATGACTTAGCCGTTGGAGATCAGTGACTCACGTTTGAAGGAGATGACACGTGGCTATGGATGCATGATCGGACGCAGGGGTCCGAGCGTCCGGTCATCCTGACCAGCACGTTCGGTCAACCCGCAGGTGCTGAGTTTTGAGCCCAACGGCTATGTGGTCGGTTGGGGCTCTATATAAGTGTGTTGGCCGGCTTGGGCTCCCTCTCTTGGTCATTTTCATTGACATAGCAACCTAGTGAGCTAAGCCAAAAGCCCTCTCACTCATCTCCATCATTGATTCAACATCTTTGTGAGATTGGGAGTGAATCCAAGTGCATTGCTTGAGTGATTGCATCTAGAGGCACTTGGTGATTGTGTTTCGCTATGGGATTCGTTTGTTTCTCTTGGTGGTTGCCATCACCTAGATGGCTTGGTGCAGTGAGGATCGTCGAGCGGAGGAAGGTGATTGTCTCTGGCTCCAATAGTGGTGATTGTGAGGGGTTCTTGACCTTTCCCTGGCGTAGACCCAAAAGGTACTCTAGTGGATTGCTCGTGACTTGTGGATCCTCATTTTGTGTTGGTTGTACGGTACCCGATTGCGTGTTAGGCGTGTAATGCCTATTAGCGTGTGAACCTCCAAGTGAGTGAATCGCCACAATGGGGACTAACTTGCCAGCAAGTAAGTGAACCTCGATGAAAAATCATTGTGTCATCTTGTCTCCGAGGATTTCATTGGTATTCATTGTGATTGATTGATCATCTCTTGCCATGGCAGTATAACTCACTACCTCTCTTGTGCATTTACTTTCTTAGTGTTGCTAAGCTCTTTAGTATAATTAGTTTTGAGAGCTAGCTTGTGTCTTGTCTAGTGGTTAGTGAGGCTCTTTAGTTAGTCCTTGAAAGCTCACTAACTTAGTGGTAATGACTTAGCCTCTTGTGTGATATAGAGATCATAGATAACTAGAATTGTGGATAGGAGGCTTGTATTTTGAGTAGACTAGAGCAACACTCCACTTCGCTTCATAATTGTCTAACCACTTGGCTTAAGTGTTATTATAGAAATTTTTATAGACTATTCACCCCCCCTCTAGCCATTTGGACCTTTCACAATGAATTATTGATGTGCCCTCTTTATTGTGTGTGATTATGATTTGTTAGTTCTAAACTTATTGTTAGTGTGGCTGCCCTATGCATAGCCTAGTATGACACCAATCTGTATTTCTCCCTTGCTACCACTCTTTCCTGTGGTGTGCAAATTCCTATATGTGGTGATCTACTGATTTGATCTTGATCTTGTGGTGTCAAGATGAGATGAATGTACCGTCTTTAACACTTGGAACTTGTGTATGGAGGGTTATTGTGTAGCTAGTGCTTTATTATATCAGTGAACTATGAATTGATGAACTATATATTGCTTAGTTCTATGTAGTATGTGATGTGCTTATTAGCCAAATATATTTAAACAACAATTTTCAGGTATAGCTGTTTCAACTGGCGATAGGTACTCCAGTAGGCAAATCCACATCTCATTGCATGCCATGTGAAGGCAACATGTTCTTCCACTACTTCCATCAACGGTTTTTAGGATGTGTTTGGTTGAGCTGTGGCTTTTGAAAAAGCTACTATGAGCCGTGGGATGTGGAAAAACTACTTAGAAAAGCTGTTCTGGGAAAGCTAAAAGCCATTTGGTGGAACAATTGTGGCTTTTAGAAAACACCTACGAGCGGCCCCCACATGTGTATTCACAGTGCACCCCACTCAACTCTCTCCCTTTCTCAGCCCCTTCTTCCTCTAGTTGGCGTGAAGGGGCAGCACCTGGCCAAGCCCGCGGCGGCAGACAAAGGGGCCTGCGCCCACGCCTGCGTCGGGGACACCGCTGGATCCCACACTGGAGCTCGCCCTCTCGGTGACCGGTCGCGGCAAAGATGAAGATGGAGGCCGCGCCGGCGTGAAGGGGCCACGCCCGTGACAGGGATAGAATAGAAGAATAAAAAAACAAATCGTTACCTTAATAACTAGTGTCAGGTGGGTAAATTTTTGCCCCAAAGCAGCTAAAAGCAGGGGGAGCTGCTTTAAGTTTAGTACTAGAGCAAAGTCAGCTTTTGGGCTAAATCAGTTGTGGCTTTTAACCCCTTTAGTTGGCTTTTTCTTAGCAAAAGCAAGTTTAAAAGCTCAACCAAAGATGACCTAAATAAAGTCAGCTAAATTGGTGGTATTAAATGTAGTCGTTCGAAATGTCTGCAAAAGTATTATAACTTTACTGTTTCTAGGGTTTTTTGCAAATAAATATAAATATAAAAAATAAAAATGGTAATTCCAAACCTGTTAATGGATTGGGCCTAAACAACCGTGGCGGGTTGAAAAAAAAAGGGTGACCGTCGAGGCCAGCTCTCCGACAGCACACCAAGTCCCTCACTCTGAGCCGCATAGAATGAAGTCTTTTATCCGCGTGCTATTATAAAAGATGGTCCTGACTTAAAGGTCATTAAAAAGTTTCAACACACCTGTGTACCATCGCGCTAAACTTTTTTGCCTTTCATGTCATTCCGTCCACCTTTCGTCTGATTTTTGTCGTTTGCCCGCTCTGCCATGTGGACCCAACCATGTCCAAAATACCCTTCTCTCATACTCTTATCATCTTCTTTCTTTGTCTCTCCGACTGGTGGGACCAAGCTGTCGGCGTCTTTGGCACACAGTAGGCAAAGAGGGCCGGGCCGTAGAAGCGGAGGCGCGGCGGGTGCCCGTAGCGGCCATGTGGCGGACGACGGAGAAGGCCATGGCGGGGTCGCTGTGGCGAGGCGTGCGATGCTGGTGAGGGTGGACGCGGTCGCCTGCGCGCCGTCGCGATCGCCGGAGTGGAGCATTCCCATCCCGCGGTGGCGGGGCAGCTCGCCCGCGCGCCGCTGCGGTCACCGGGGGGAGCTCGCCACGCGCCGTCGCGGTGGCCGGGGGAGCTCGCCTGCGCGCCATCGCGGTGACCGGGGGCAGCTCGTCCGCACGCCGTAGTGGTGGCTGGGGGAGCTCGCCGCGCACCATGGCGGTGCCCGGCATGGAGCCCCTGTGCGCGCCCACGGTGGCCGGGGGGAGCCCATGCGAGCGCTGGCACGGTGGCCGGGGGAGCTCGCCGCGCGCCAAGGCGGTGCCGGGACGGAGCTCCCGTGTGTGCCCGTGGGGAGCCCGTGTGCGCGCTGGTGGCGGTTGCCGGGGTGGAGCTCGCCGCCGGTTGCTCCAGGCGCTGCTGCTGCAGGAGGTCGAGCTTGCCACGGCCGTCACGGTTTACTGCAGGTTGCCGTTTGCGTCGGCGTCAATGGCGACGCCCACGTTCGCGAGCAGGGAACGAGCGAGGCTAGAGAGAGCCAGAGGGAGGGCGAGCAGAGCTCGGTGCACCGCCGGTTCTGCCTAGCGCGCCCCCATGCCCCTGGGGCCGCGGTGGGCCGCCGCGGCCTGCTAGCCGCCGCACGTCTGCTGCCCACCGCCTGTGTGCTCACCGCGCTTGCCATGGCAGCCTAGCCATGGGGTGTCGCGCAGCCTCCTCCCGGCATGCAGGGCAGCGGCGGACGCACGGACACGGAGGCACGCAGAGTCACGACCCGTGCAAGCTGTCCACGATCCGACAGAGGAGAGAGAAAAAATTAAATAAGTGAGGATTAAAAGAAAAACAAAAAAATAAATCTCTAAGAGACTTTTGCACCGTAGATTGACACCGTTATGCATGAAGGTGGACGGAGTGGCTCGAGAGGAAAAAAAAGAGTAAAGTGCGATGGCACGTACGTGCGTTCGAAATTTTCTTTGGCGCGTTTGCGACCCTGGCCCGACGGCCTGGCTGCGCCCTCCGCATGCAGCTTCCCGTGTTTGCGAGCTAGGGCCCATCAGCGAGCCAGGCCCAAACGATGCAAATCGCACTCTCTCTCATGGCTCCCAGGAAACGCGACTTTCCTTCGTTTCTTCAAAGCCTGGCTCATTGAAGCACGTCTTGGGCTCGTGTGGGCTCGTGGTGGGGATGGAATCACCTCCGACTCCTTTCTCACCCACCGCGGCAGAGCAACGCGTCCTAGTCGAGCAGCCTGCTGGTGGTGGCGGAGCGGCGCGTCGGGGATGAGGTAGAGGAGGATGAGGAGGTGGGGCCGGATGCGGAGGAGGCGTGGGCGAGGGGAGGTCGGAGGTGGAGCGGCGCAAGCAACTCGAGCCGGCGTCGTGTTCGCCGTCGTCGCGGGAGTCCTCGCGCTCGCCGTCGTCGCGGGCGTCTTCGCCGTGGGCCTGGCGGCGCGAGCGGCCGCCGCGAGCAGCAGCAAGCGACGCGGCGCTGCTCGGAGCAGCAGCAACGACGCGGCGGCAAGCGACCGGTGGATGACGCAGGCGACGCCGGCCACCTCCACCCAGGCCATTGCAGCAACCTGCGCTTCGCCGTGCCCACCAGCTGCTCGACGAAATGCCTGTGAGGCCTTCTCTGGTGGTAAAGCTACCAACCCATACTTCTATGGTATAGGCACGCAAACACGTTCTGAATGCAGCATGGTCCGTTTCGTAGGTGGAGGCAAACAAGATGAGTTGCAGCGGTTGAGGCCGGCCAAGACTGGCCTGGGCGTCATGGGCGGGCCGAGCCGGCCGCAACCACCCTCGCAAACGCTGGAGCGGCTCTGGAATGAATTGATCACGAGTCACAGCGAGTGCTCGAGTTCCTAACGAGACAGTGCCCACTATGGCCGCCACCGGCGACCAGCCGGAGACTGTGGAGGTGACGCTGCGCGCCGTCGGCCCGTCCCGGCCAACGACCCTCCGCTTCTCTCGGTCAGTAAAACCAACCCGCGCCGCCCCCCCCCCCCGCTTCCTTTCACCTTCGTCTAGGCTGAGTCCTCCCTGATGTTTGTCTCCTTATAGGTCGCCGAGCTTCGCGGCCGCATCGCGCGCGAACGCCGTCTGGCAGGCACAGAAGAGGTTCGACTCCGCCTGGTCCTGAGAGGGAAAACGCTCCCGCACCAAGAGGATGCCCATGTCAATCTCCGCGATGGGGGTGGGTGCCCTAATCCTGAATCCCTCTATGTCTTCATTGGCGATTTGCGAGATATGTTGCTAACATCGCATGTCGATTCATTTTTAGTAGTTTTTGTCTTTTCTTCTATAAAATCCGTGCTGTCTTCTAGTATGGGGGCTGTCCAATTGAGTTTGTCATGATCCATTTACACACAGGTTTGTTCATATGAGAGTTTTTTTATATGTGTTTTGCGATTTCTACAGGTACTCTAATAGTGGCCGTGGCGCCTAAGCCTCCTGCTAATCATCTCCTTGATGACGATGAGGAGGAAGAAGAGGAAGAACTGGTACAATTTTCTTGCAGTACTTCCAAAAGATCTGTAATGTTCGATATCTTTGTGTTGTTCGTAAAAGTCCACCTTTCTCTTTCCATTTCTGTAGAAGTTCAAAATACCACAAACGACAACCTTGTGGAAGAGGAAATTTTTTATGTTTCTTCGAGACAAGTTGAGATTACCTGGTAATGTGCATGCACGGTGCTCAACTATTTTCTTGTAAAATAAAATGACAGTGTGCTCAATGTAACATGCATTCTACTTCAGATATCATTTTGATGGCCCTGTTTTCTCTCAGTATGAAAGCATGGATTATCATTGCAGTGTGGTTCCTATTGGCACCGATTGCTCAGAAGTACGACGTTGGACCTTTATATGTAAGTAACTTATTTTCAGTACCAGAAACTCAACCAATTATTATCAGTGATATTACATTATGCTCATCCTGACAATGAAGTACATCTAAGCATTCGAAACACATCTAGATAGTTATTGAAGAATTGAACAGATCAATTTCTAGCTCCAGCCAAGGTTATACTGATATTGTGCTGAACCTTGATGCTACTATTATGTGTAGTAAAATTTCGGGTTTGGAATGATCAAACTTATGGAATTCGTTTCTACGTTTCAACTCATTGGCAAATGCTACGTTTTCTGTATACTCAGATACTTGGTACCGGTTTCTTGATCATACTTCTTAATCTCGGGAGACGGCAACAAGGTGATGTTAGGTATGCCAACTTATGACTTCAGTTTGTGTTCTTGCTCAGTTGTTGACAGTGAAAGCCTTTTATTATGTTTCGACCAACATTGCGTTCTTATGTACCATGCAATAGCTTTTGCTTACAACTCAGATTTTAGCATCGAGATATGATATGTAATGATACATTGCATACTTTGGTCTTCTTATTGGTTGGAGTGCTGGATAGAAGTAGTACAGCTAAAATGTGCTCCATTGATATGTCTTCCTAAGTGAAAAGCAAAGTTCTCCAACTGCAATATTAGCTAAAAAGCTGCTTGTACTGCCGCATAAAAGTTCCTTCTTTTGGTCAACAGCTGGTTAGTGGCTACAAAGTAGTCGCACTGTCAGCTACCAGACTATGCGCTTGTTTTTGCTAGAATAGCTGTGATTTACTTCTGGTATGTCTGGGCTTATCATGATGATCAACGAAATCGATGCTTCTGTATTGTGAAACTGGAGATAAACTGTTCTCTTTTTTCATTGGTGCTAGTATTTTTTTTTCATCAGTGCAACTCATAAGTTGATTTTGTTGAGTTCTAGTTTGTCTGGGCTTGTCATGCTGATAAGCCAAATAGATGTTTCTCTGCTAAGAGTCTAAGACCTAGGCCATAAACTTTTTCTTTGGCCAGTGCCAGTGCCAGTGCTTTGCATTAAAAATAAAAAAGGAAGATGGCCATTCAGACGCAAAGATCTTGTTGTAACAAATTTAATTGTATTATTAGATGATGAAAAAGTTTATGAATTGTATATTGGGAAGTCACAGCTTATTCTTTTCTGACTTTAAAGTTTAAACTTTCTGTTTGTTCTACCCTCCACGCAGTGCATACTCCATATTCAACGAAGATTTTAGGGAGCTGCCAGGAACACTTAATGCAGATCGCATTGATCGAGATATCCGGGCAGGTCAATTTTAAGCCAAGTCTGGGTGATAGACCATGGTATGCTGAAATTTGTACAGAAGCGTATTGTGCGTTGCCTTTGTTTGTACATGGAAAGCACTGTGGAGATGAAGGCAGTGCGCCTGTAAGGGTTAATGCCCAATATATTTCTTACCTTTAAGTGAAACAGTGTTGCCTGGTTACAATTGGAAATTACCATCACACTTTGCAGATCTGTACTTGTGAAACCAAAACAGCAGAGTTAACTTAAGACTGGCAGCCACAAAGTGATATTCCTTGCGTTCAAAAAACAAAGTGATATTCCTCCCCATGCAAGTTCTTGTATCCGCTATGAGCCACAAAGTCCTATATATCTACTTGCAATTGGTACTGAGGTTCTTGCACTACAGGTTAGTCATTTCGTTAGGTGAGAGCTTCATCAAGACTACTACAAACTTGAACATGTTCATTCTCTGAGCAACTCAGAACTACGGCACGTTCGGTTTACCAGCTTTCAGTTAAAATTCAGCAAGTCGAACGGAGCCACGGTGTGAGATCAGATGTACATATGCCGCAGAAAAGGATGGAAGTGGAAGATTACTTCGACTGCATATGTTTGACAAGCATATGTGCATTTTTTACTGACCGAGTGGCCGACTCAAAATTATACGTCAAATCAGATGAGGCTGAAAAGTGAATATTCTACTGATGGCTGAGATAGAGGAGCGCATATATGCAGCCCGTTCGGCTGGGATGGCTGGCTGGCTTGCTGGGGCTAGCCAGCTCCCTCACGCGGGCATTGTTCATGTGAACAGTGTCTTTCAGCAATAACAGTATTTTTCTCTTACACAAACCAGCCAGCAGTAGTTCCTCACGAACCAGCAACGAACATGCCGGCCCAGCCGAACAGGTTGATGTACAACAAGGAATTTTCGCTTCAATTCATTTCACAGTTAGGAATATTTGCACGTGCAATCAAACGAGCCGTACTTCAGTTACATGATGATACCCGTGATCCCAACATATATAGAAATCCTTACCCCAACTATCGGTGTATTTCTTAAAATATCATATGATTGTCCATGCGTTGCAACGGGTGCAACATAAATTGAATGAGATATTTGTTAGGCGAGTCAAAATCAAGAATATATCAATTCAATTTTTTACGTGTATTATACCACGATAATATCTAGAAACACATTCATTATCGTAATGAATCTGAAATAAAAGCTAGGATTTAAGCTTGTTGTCTGAAAGTTACGAAAAACATCAATTGCCTTAAAGGTTGAAAATTTATTGCTAGGCATCGAATTGAATTTATCCATGCTCTGCTTGCCAAAACATGTATACTCGGACTTACGATATCCTAGCCCGCATGAGGCATGACAATAATTCATTTTTTGAGAAAAAAAGTATTTGTTGTCAACACGCAACGCGAAGGACGACAAGCAAGATTATTTTATTTACTTGCCTTCCAATGTCTCCATGTGGTGATTATTTGCCTGTCGGATATGAATCGCATGAGATGCGGTGATTATTTTTTTACCGGATATGGATCGCATGAGTGTTTTGGTCCTGCCGGGTAGATGTTGACAATCCATATGTTTTAGTTATAGAGATAGAGACTACCACAATTCACACAATGGCAGGACTAAATCCTACAGAAGAACCACTGCAAAGTTTCTATGCCCAGCTCAATGCCACTGGCTGAAAAAAGTTCAAGGGTCTGCCATCATGTAATATTTTCCCCATTTGAAACGAATCCAGGATTGAAGTTCAAGACCCTTTCAAGTTTTTGTTGATTGAACACTTCAACTTCGACCAAGAAGACGGCGCTGACTGGGCGGTGATCTGAGAGGTTCAAACCGGAGCTCCAATATGATAGTTGTTTGGTACCCTTCCCCAACCATATTACACGATCGCACCTGATTCATTGGCAATACACTGAACAGTTGAGCATCTTCGAATGGACATCGAATTACTGGAAATAGATAGTAGCTAGATTCTGACAAGAAATTTCAAGTTCAGAAACATGGCAAAATAGACTCTTAAGAATGCTCGAAGAAATCTCAAGTTCAGAAACATGGTCATGGTTTGCATGCTTTAACTTGGTATATGTGGATTTATGCATACTTGATATATTTCTAATCTTAACCAAAAATATAGTATAATCAGAAAGAGACTTAACCATGCTGGAGATCTTTTTTTCTCTGCTTCATTATGAAGCTCACCAACATATCTGGTTGAATTCCTTTCATACTTGTAAGTTGGTGGGAAGTTAATCAAGCCTTCCTTCCAACCAAGAAAAGTATTTCCACTTATTAGCTCCTTCGTTAGCTGAAATATATGTGATAGCTGTCAATTAATTTTCAGAAATTGGAAGAACCTACCCTATTTGTATAATAGATATAGTATTGTCACACTGTGGATTGTGGAGCAATAAAAAGTAATCGTCAAACCTGATCTGACTTCAAAAGATCATCCCACTTCTTCATAGCCACCAGATATCGTACTTCAGAATCCGGCAGGTCAATGCGGTAGTTAAGATCCCCGAACCAGAAAATTTGACTGCACCAAAATGAAATTCTGACATCCAACATAAAAACTTTCATCCGATGAAATCATGGTGGATGTAACATGGAACTAACAAAAATGCAATGATTTTTTTTTTCAAAAGATGCCATGAGAAATAAACTATATTAACCACAAAATTTACATCTACCATTAAAGAAGCAAACTTAAAACGGATCATGGCATCTCCTTTGTGGTAAAAAATTACATCTGAGGGTGTTTAGGATGTTTTTTGGTCTATTTTTTATTTTATCAAGGGCACGAATGTAATCAAATTAATTATTTGTGTGCTGTATGGGGGGCAGCGTGTTTGGCCTGAGCTGATTACTTTGTAAAATTACAGTCCATAGCATGCTTCTTTCACCCAAATAAGTGTATATAGATTCCTTGTTAGCTATGAAATTTGGTAACACTGGCACTGGGTGATGAAAGTCGCTGAAAAATATACTTGTGTCCACAACAAATCTATATTTTTCAGTTTTATGTGCAATACAATTTAATGAACCCAATAGCTTTTCTGAGTTAGGCATATTTCTCATCTCAGGAGTAACTATTTTTCAAGGAAAACAGCATCATGGGGACAAAAGTGGTCTTTACATACTCATGAGAAGGAATCTTTTGTGGACGACCAGCAGCAAACAAGGAAGAAAACCTTGTTCTTTGTAAAATCTCATAAACATCAGCGTTCCTTTTTTGTTGATCCCCTGATTTATGACCAGATGCAAGATGAGAGCAGACAAAGCACAATCGAGTTTGGAAAAGAGTCATGCTGGTGGAAATCGATCCCTGCACAAGGAAAAACAAGATTGACGAGCTAAAATCAGCATCTTCATTCAACTCTGTACATCAACAGACAATATAAATGTACATCATCCTGTAGGATTAAGGATGACCTTGTTGCCCATGTATCCCAAAAGTCCAACCCCAACCGGTGATACCTCCAAGTTGTTAACATGTCGCCTCAATTTTTGGGAAACCCATACAGAAACATATATTCCAACCATTTGTTTGCTAACAATGCGCACATAATTTGCACGATGCTTGGAAGATTCTCTTTTCCCAAGAGTAGCACAGTCCTCAACAGTGTCATCAAAAGTTGAGTCTTCTTCTGACACCAAATCAGATAACTGATCAAGCGAATTTAGAACATCAAGATTCTCCTGCTGTTCAGACCATAACATGCTAAGATTTCCCGAGCTATGATACTGCCTTCTCATCCCAGCATGCAAATCTACATCCTGGAGCTCAAGACCTCGAGGGTTTTCCACAAAGTTGGCGCTAAATAACCCCAAGCTCATGACTCGCCTCAATCCTGTACCTGATACCAAAACCTTTGATGGAGTGTCGAGTGGATATTCTGGCCACTCCAATGAACTGGTCTCATCGAACCTGTTGCGATGAAGCTTACTCTTACTAGTTTGCCAATCTCTAAGCTGAGTTAAACTTCCTGTCACTCTATCTTCAGGTTTGGATTTCGTATATTCATGCCCATCGCCTGAAGCAACAGGTCTAAGTAATGGTGAGAGTGGAGCACTGTAGCTTTTGCAGATTGTCTTGGTTTGCTGAGACCTGTTAAGTGTTTGGCGGATAAGAGCTTCCCATTTCTGTATTGGTCTACTGTCCTCTGCTCCCAAGACATTACCAGCACTTAATGGGACAACTTCCTGGAAACTGAAACACAAGTGAAGCAATTTAAATAGGATATCCTGAACAGTAATTAGCCTTGTTTAGTATCATGGTCAATGGGCCAAAGGACCACCACAATATGCCAATCAAGCATCAGCAGTCAAGCATACAAAAACAAGTCCACATTGAATCATATATTTTCATATTTTGTGGAGGTGCATACCCTAAAACATACAAGTCTGCTGGCTCTTGGGTACAAAGCCACTGATCAAGATCAAGGTCATCACTAGGCACTCTTCCAGCAACATTCCATGTTCCTATCATCACCCTGGTTGACGGTGGCAACCTCTATTATCTAAGTGCACCAGATGCTTGACACATAACATGTTAATAATACAGATGAAATCATAAAAGCCAAACCTCACATCTTTGTTACTGATGTAGCTAACACGTAAACTCTCTGATTTCCTTCTCTGAAGCCTTCGCAGAGGAATTGTTTTTTCTCCTAGCAAGAGAGAAAAACACTTGAAATCAAGCACATAACGATATCAAACAAATTTCATGACCAGAAAAGGTTTGAAAACCAATAGGCATGAGACATGACATGAATTTGCATTGTACTGAAATTATGACTATAAATTGTATCCTGACCCTTAGGATTATGTTACCTAGTATCATTCTGTCCCTACAGGCTAAAGCATAGGTCTACAATGAAAGGAAAAAAACGCGAAATAAACTATAGGAAATATTCCAATATTGTTATGACTGTACAACTGAACAAGATAAGAGATCAGATGAAAAGTAGCAACAAGTGACTAACTCTCTGGACTGTTCTGTTTGGGATATTTCCAGCTGAGGCTTTCTTAAAATCTGATCACTAAAAAATGGTGTCTAGACTGGCTCTTGAAACCTAAGTTAGTCATTTTGGACCAATAAGATTACCTAACATGAGCTGCCAGCAAGGAGTTTCTTTTTTTCCTTGTTATCAGCTTGTGTTGGGTTTGATTTCATCTCTAGCCTACCTCAACTCACTTGGGACCAATAAGACTTTCTTATTACTGTTGCTGCAGTATAGATTTGCCATGAAAATGTATATTGGCAGATTTCTTGCTAAAACTGCTGATGGCATATTAAAATTTAAGTTTTGAAGCATTATGTGCTCAAGGAGGGCATAAGCGTGCCTTTGAGTCTTTAAAGATAATATTATTATTACATTTCTAATCAACACTAGCATATTGTTCTGATGATCAGGCCTCTAAATCAGATATTATGAAAGTACGTAAACCATTATCAATTTATTTCTCATTTCTAAACTCGATTTATAGAGTATCACTGTATCAACGTAAATCTGAGCTTTGCATGTTAAAGTTAGGGTATTATTTTGCAAATCTAAAGCTGCAAGAGAATCATTGTTATGCCACCACTAGGAACAGTAAGATATATATTTTTTTTACAATGTTGTAGCAAGCAAGGAGGAAAACTGAAGCTCTACTAGCACTACTAGTCAACTAGTTATAATGAATGCAACTATAAACTTACAATATATGCCAGAGTGGTGCTATTATGTCAAACTTGAAAGCATTGTTCACTTAAACAGTCATTGAGCCCGTTTAAACACTACACGGTAGTACACCATTTCCATTTATTATCCTTTTTAAACGACCGTTTTGCCCATTTAAATGTCCGTTTAGCCAAAATAGTGACTATACGGTAGGTGACCCATTGTTTAGCGTTTAGGAAAACACTGCTTAAAACACAGTGAAGATATAGACATAATTGTAGGCTTTTATGGAAACAATCTTACCTGATGATTTGCTAATCATGTATTTGACATTTCCATCTATCTCAAAGAAGTTATCATCTCCAGAGTCACTACCATCTGAGAAAAGGTGTAAAATTCTAATTCCAAATGGAAGTATTGAGAATACAAGCAAAGAAATTTCTAGAGAATACTCATGCAATTTCCCGTACCATTGTCTTCGCCGCCTGTATCAAACTCGTCTTCGCTGAAATCATTTAACTTCGGCCTGATGTTTAGCCATTTTTTCATCACCATTGAAGGCCAAAATGGCTATAATTTATACCAGATCAGATAACTCGACGTTATCAAGAACAGTAAAATGGAAAAAGTAATCCATCATAATTCATACAAGCATATACTGAAGCTGCCCATTTCTGCGAATTACCTCTGACTGTTTTCTTCTTTGGTCTCTCATCATCTGCAATGCTACAAGGAAGGCTAGGAACAAAACTTCGAATCTCCCTTGATTTCAAGGAAAAGGCAAGCCCATATGGTCCAACGAGCTACTAGGGGGGTATGTTCCAACGAGCTGGGGGGGGGGGGGCGGGGACTCTTGTCCTTCAAATTGCAGAATAACTTTTGCAGCAGTAAGATCCATATTGAATACTTCCACTGTTGTCCATTTGGTCATGGAGAATAGTGAAGTAGACATCAATATAAGAACTGTTGCTTTCCAGCAGAAGAAATTAAGAAAAGGGTATGCGAAAATTTTATCACAATTGGTGGACAAGATCCAGGGTTTGTCCTGCATGAACTCTATCAAGTGCACATGGTCCAACAAGACATTACCAAGTGACAGGGACAAGCACAGCACCATCATACTGTTCGAAAGAGATGGACAGGTCCACACACTCCCTCCGTCCCGAAATAGAGGTCATTATGGAATGCGTGTAAGTCAAACTTTCTCAACTTTGACTACGTTGGTAGAGAATGCGTGCAACATTTACATCTCCAAATAAGTTTATTATGAAAGTATATTCAACGATCTACCTAATGATACTAATTATATATTATAAATATTAATATGTTTACATATATATTTGGTCAAAGTCAAAAGTGTTTGACTTCTCGGAAAGTGAGAATGACATCTATTTTGGGACGGAGGGAGTATGTATGTATTATACTGGATATGATGGGCTCTCCTGCGTATTAGAGAAAAAATTACTGATTTGATGGATCAAAACAGCCATTACTTATTAGCACAGACACTACTTCAGAGCAAACTGCATAGAAGCAAAGAATTGGTGGAGATAGGCACTATTTGTGGTCCATGGGCCTGTTCACTTTACTATGGAAATAGAAAGACACTAGGATCTTGGTTCCTAATCAAAGAACAGGAAGGCCTCTAACCATCTAGGACAGCAAGAATAATACTGAAAGTGAAACAGAGTGGGACAGCTGACATAAGGAGTTGAGGAAGAGCAACATCAGACCGAAATGAGTTCTCAAAAAAAAAAACATCAGAGCAAAATATTATGTCAATATGTCATAGAGTGGAGAAGAAGGCAGTGGGACATATAGGAAGCAAGGGTTTTGGAAGGGAACTTGAACACCTTTGACTAGTGTTAACTGTTAAAATCTAATGTTATCTAGCATTTGATGGACACAGGACACATCAGGAGTGACAAGCAGGCAAAAATATTTTTCTTTAAAAAATGCTTCCAGATTGCTGACTGCGACTTAGTACCTACTATTTGCCACAAGTTCAAATGCAAGCACAATTAGTCATTCATTCCTAACGAAAATATGGCACCCAGCATAGACAAAAATACGGGAATTAAAATCTAGGACATCAAGGCTAGAGAGTTCATTAAAAGGAATGATTGGTTGTGCCCTGTTACGTTAGGCTAAAGGTGAAGAAGACATAATAAGGGTATTCTGTTATCTGCAATATCACTTTTCCTGTATGGATGATGAAGAATCCTTTGGAAAAAGTAACCCACTATATGCACGGGATACGTTTCTCAAGCCTGCAAGTTGGGAGAACATAGACGTGATGTATAACGACAAGAGCGTCGTTTAGTTAGCTTTTCACTTTTCTATATTCCTCAATACAGTGTATGTTGTCAAGCGTATTTGTGATGGTTTTAACAAGTGCAGCCATAACTAGTTGAGCATACTTCAAAAATGAGTCATCGCCTTCATACGTAGAAAACCAAGCAGCCCATGAGAAATATGAAACGCTAGAATATACCTGGGGTACTACCTCCGATAGTTCATGACAGGGTGGAAATCCTTGCAGATTCTTGAGTTCTTCCTTGTTCGGCTTACACATGTTAATGAGATGCGCTATGAGATACAAACATGAGTTTCAGGGTTGTGTGCTGTGGTGAGGCTCAAAAAGGCCTTGCAAAGGTCCATTCCGTAAACATCTGACAGGAACACAGGTAGCAAAGGGTTCTTCAACCGCAACCTGACTGCGTCCGAAGCCGAGGCGCTGGACGAGCTCTTCCCGGCCGTTGGAGCACCGTACAGGCAGCCGCGAAGACGCAAGGCCACCTAGACCACAAAGCTGCGTCGATATTGGTTGTTTCCTTTTATGTAATATCGAAACATGAGGTCTTTTGCTAGGATGGTCCAGCTTCGCCTGTGTTAGGTCGACCTCATTCGGCGCTCGATAGAAACGCGTTATATGTTTGTTTAAACTCTTCTCCTTAATACAATGATACGCAAATCTTTTGCGTATTCGAGGAAAAAAAAGACGCGGGCCAGTTCCTCCTCCAAGTGGACGGCTATGCTCTGCTCTCCTCTGCCTCTGTGGTGTGTTGCGCCATTGCGGATGTCAATCGAGAGGCATAGGGTCCAGGATGTGGCCTCGCCAGCAGAGAACAGCCGGAGAGCGCATAGCACAAGCCTTTGGTTTTGCAGCCTGAGGTCGAACACCTGTTGGGTGTGTGGCGGACGCATAGATACTCCACTGCTCGATGATGAAGCAAGCGCCAAGTGGTGGGGAGTGGAGAAGGCCCGACAGGAAGCGGCGCCGGAAGAGGGAGGAGGGGCCTCCGAAGCGAGGAGTAGAATGGGCTGGCGGCGGCGGGCCGGGACCGTGCGTGAGGGAGGAGGGATTTTGGGATTCCAAGAGATGGGAATGTTGTACCGGCGTCTGTCGGTACTCCTTGCTGTTTATGACGGAGAAATCTGTGACTATTAATATGCAGAAAGAAAGAATGAAAGAGAAAAATACAGAAGAAGTTTTTTTTTCTTTTGACAACGAACAAGTTTTATCTCAACAGCATCTAGTAGCTTTTAACAGCCTTACAAAGTTTAAGGCTAACGGACACTGGGTTACATATGCTGTGTTGGAACAACACAAGCGAAACGTAAGAGTTGGAGGCTCTGAGTCTGAAAGAGCCTGTCTAGTTAAAATATCAGCCGTTTGATTTTGGTTCCTGTTGATCTTGAATATCCTTGAGCCTCTTTGGCTTGTGCAGTTACTGAAAAGCTGAGTGAAGTATTTGATTCATGAATCCGGAGGATTGGATTGATCTGAGGTATTCAGGAACTGTACCAGTTGTTGATTATCTAATAAGAAGTTTGTGTGGTTGAAATTCATGCGATCAGTGACAATTGCAGCCAACGCCAGAGCTACAGCCTCCGCAATCACAACTGAGTTTGAGTCTGTCATCACCGCTTTGATGTAGATGGTTCGTAGCGGATGCACTGGTGTTGATAATAAAAACTTCAATTCCAGCCTTTTTGGGGCGGGAGGGAGTGTAGATCAGGCAGTGTTGATGCACCGGCATAGCACCTGATGCCTTGTAACTGTCTTGAGATTTGGACTGTGTATCTATCCGTCAAGGTGGTCATGTACCTGTCCACCTGATTCGCTGATGAAGTATTCCCTGTAATAAAAGTGTCCATACCTGATGGGCCAGCGTCATTTGTAGTTGGCCTGTTTGGAGGGAGAGGGACCTTCCGCTGCAGTAGCATTTTGCTGATTCTCGGGAAATCAATCTCTGTGTCCAGCAACTGATGGTGCAGTTTAACAATCCAACTTCCGTCAAGGTTCTATCAGTCTGGAACATGTGCATCTTAGTGCTTCTGATTGAAATTAAAATGATCCTGAACCGCGCTACATCAACATGCTAGCTGGTTAGGATACTCGGCTCTCACCCGAGAGGACCCGGGTTCGAGTCCCGTCCCGGCAACGGAGGTATTGTACTCTTTTGCCTTTTGCACTGATAGAAAAAGAGAAAATAGCATCTTCTTACTCCTTTTGCCTTTTGCACTGATAGAAAAAGAGAAATTAGCATCGAATGCAGTGAGAGAATACGTTATTCCATGAAATTCTAACGCCTTTTACCTTTTGCCTTTTGCACTGATAGAAAAAGAGAAATTAGCATCGAATGCAGTGAGAGACTACGTTATTCCATGAAATTCTAATGCCTAGATTACACTATCGTACGCTTAGAATAAGAAAACAATTTTATCAGATTAGCAATTAGCATGGAATAGATGGCGATTCTGATATATAGAATAGAGAGCACAAACACACACTATGGTCTCTCTCTCCGCTTCAGGGTGTGTTTAGTTTGTGCTATTTTTCTGTTTGGTTGGATGGATAATAATAGATGTGGAGAATAATTAACTAATTATATCTATTATTTAAAACTAATAATAACTAATTGTACACGAATAAATATGCAGTGACACTATTTTTTCAAAATAATCACTAACTAAAAATAAAATATGTCAATTAGCATTACTACTACACTAATTGGCACACTAATTAGCACTCTTGCTTACCTATCATGGTATTTAATGCTATAAAAACCACCTGTTTCAGGTTGAGACTGTCCTTACAAGCTAATGCTGAATATTATACGGGTTTAGGGCCATATTTTATTTAATAAATCAATTAATTCTATGCCATATTAAATAATGTGGTACAATATAGTTTTAGTCCCGTATGTGATTTTGACTGATTGTTGACTCAACTTAAATGGGATACACACGTATGTACCTACAGAGAAGTTGAAAGAGACTAAAGACGTGCCACACGCGCGTGCGCCGTATCCGCCGTCGCCGAGGCATGGCATGGCGATATCTTTTTGTTGCCTCACGAGCCATACCTCTCCTTCCTCCTGTCGAGTTGCATTCGAGTACTTCCCATCCCATCCTCCGCGCGCACGGAGTTTTGGGAGAGCAGGCCTCCGGAACCGGCGTTCACATCGGGACACCTGCTCGGATGTGTGCGGACGATTAGGTTTTTGGGGAGCGTCCACTTCGATTGATTCATCTCCCTCATCTCTCTGGCATTACCTTTCTTTCCATCTTCCTGTTGCCTCACGAGCCATACCTTCGAGTACTCTGAAAGCATCTAGACCCCTAGTTGGGTTTCGGTGATTAATGATGACATAAGATTACTGTGACTAACGTGTATTTTGCAGAGACAACTTGAGTTCGATTATGGTCATG